TACCTTGATCTGAGTAGCATTTAATGTTTGTTGAATAAATATATATATGTATAAATATATATATATTATCTAAGAACAAAGTTTTAAGAATAAATAATAATTGAAGAAGTAATACAAAAACAATCGCCTAATTAACATAAGAAAGACATTGATAATACCTGAGGTCAATTCCTTAAGTAAAAAGAATAATCTGAAGAAGCCATTTGGTTGATCAGCAACATAAAACCGACCAAATTTATCTTCACTGTGTATCAATATGTCTCCCCACCTCAGAATCTGTTTCATTTCCTCCCACTGTTTTATTCCTAAATTAACCAAACTATTACACTGGTATATACTGAAAATGTTTATTGGGACTTATTCAAGAAAGAAGTACATTTAATTTAAAATTAGGTGAGCTACAACACTTGTATATTCTATTGCACGTTCTAGTCAGTGAATAAAAAAAAGTGTATAGATTGGAAAAAAAAGTAAAACTGCCTTTATTTATAGATGGCATATTGTATATGTAGAAAATCTTAGGGAGGCTACAAAAAGGGATATTAGGAATGGCAAGTTTAGCAAGGTCTCAGGATACAAGGGCATTATTAAAAAAAAATCAATTTTTTTTCTATGTATTAACAAACCATTGGAAAGTGAAATTAAAAATACCATTTACAATAGCATACAAATGCAAAAGAATTAGGGATATTTTAACAAAATATGTACAAGAACTCCCCACCAAGGACTACAAAATATTATGGAATGGAATTAAAGAAGACATAACTAAATGGAGAGGTATCTCATTTTCATGGATTGGTAGGCTCAATATTGTTAAGGTATCAATACTCTCTCAATAAAAATCCCAGCACCTTTTAAAAACATTTTGGTACAAGTGGAAAAGCTAATTCTAAATGTTATTTAAAAATGCAAAGAACTTAGAGTAGCCAAAACAATTTTAACACAGGAAAAGAAACCGGAAGACTTAAACTACCTGATATCAAGATTTTCTCTAGAGCTTCAAAATCAACACAGTGTGGTATTGAAGAAGGACAGACATAAACCCAAGGAACAGAAGAGAATCCAGAAATAAGCCTAAAGATATATATGATCCATAGACTTTATACAGAGGTGTTGACATAAAAGCGATAGTTTTTTTGAGCCAACAGTGCTGGGACAATTGCATATCCATATGCAAAAACATGACCCTCAATCCTTAACTCTTCTATCATACACAAATTAACTTTAAAAAAAGTATTACAGGCCTCAATGTAAGAGCTAAATCTATAAAGTTTCTAGAAGGAAACATAGAAAAAAGTCTTTGTGATCTTAAGTTATGGAAAGATTTCTTAGATAGGACACAAAAAACAGAGGAGCTATAAAAGAAAAATGATAAACTGATTCAATAAAATTAAAACTTCTGCTTTTTAAAAGATAGCCAAGAAAATTAAGAGGTAAGCCACAGCATGGGAGAAAACTTTCCAAGCCATAATTGTATTCAGAATAAGAAATTCTTACAACTTAAGATAATCAAAAATGGGCAAAATATTTGAACACTTTCCAAAAGAATATGTATAAATGGCAAAAAAGCATGAAAAGATGCTCAACATCATTAGTAATTAGGGAAATGCAAGTTAAAACCACTTATTAGAATGATCAACATGATAATACCAAGTGTTGGTAAGGATTTGGAGCAATTAGAACTCTTACACACTGCTAGTAGGATGTAAAATGGTAGAACCACTTCAGAAGAGAGGTTCCTTGGAAAGTTAAATTTATGCTCATGTATGACACAGCAATTGTACTCCTAAGTATTTACTCAAAAGAAAGGAAGATCTATGGGAAGATCCAAATAAAGGCTTGCATACAAATGTTTATAGTGGCTGTATCCATAATTCATCGAAGTATAAGAACATGGAAGCCCATTAACAATGATGGATAAACAAACTGCATGAAACAGTCATACAATGAAATACTGCTCAGTAATAAAAAGGAATGGACAACTAATCGCACAACATGGATGAATCTCAAACATTATGCTGAGCAAAAGAAACCAGACCCAAAGAGTACATATGTAGGATTCCATTTACATGAAACTCTAGAAAGATCAATGTAAACTTTAGGGACAGAGCAGATGAGGGGTTGTTTGAAGTGAAGGTGTATATGGGAGATCATATGGAGAGAGGCTTAAAGAGAATTGTTACAGATGTGGAAATGTTGCATACTACAAATGACTGTGTGGTGATGGTGATGTGGGGATATACACTTGTGAAACCCTATAAAAAGCATACATTTTACTGTACATATATTATACCTTAATAAAGTAGATTTAAATGAAAAAAGTTGAGTGAGGTGAAGTGTTTATAAAGTTGTTTATGAAGTGTTTTTTTTTTTTTTTTTTTAACTCAAGAATATTCTTCCGTTTTGGAAGGGAAGATAGTCTCAATTATGGAGGCAACTCCACAAATCAATTTAGTGGGTAAAATAGTCATGTGACACTGAACGAGTTAAGTTATTACTGTGTGCGGAGCAAGTTTCCTTATCAGTAAAATGAGTGAATTAGGTTAGATGATTTCTTCTGTTCATTCAATAAACATTTATTAAGGCCTGCTATGGGGCAAGCACATTGCCAGGTTCTAGAGATATAAAGCTGAAAAAGAAACCATTTTGGCGCTTAAGGAGTTACAGTCTAGTGCAAGAAAGACAAGCTAATATGTGATTATGATATAGCTTATGTATACTTAGAGTATGAGAATTCATAAGAAAGCAGTCCTCTCTGATGATGCAGCACCTGAGTTGGGTTTTGAGGTACAAGAAAGAGTTTGATAAAGATGGAAGAGAAGGCATTCTAAGCAGAGGGTGCTGTATGGGCAAGGGGCCAAAGTTGAGAGACATACTATGTGTTTAAGGTACTTCAGGTGCTTAGTAGGTCTGGAACAAAGAATTTGTCCTTGTAAGGTCATGGTGCATCTTAACTGAAAAAAAGTTGAAGACAAAAAGATTCCTCCAGTTTAAGCTGTGTGTAGACAGGAGTCCTGTACCAAGGATACATGGGTACCAATGATACCCATGTAGTAGCAGATGACCTACAAGGTAAGAGAACTATATCTTCACTGAGGATCCTTTCTGTTGAGAGAATGTTTTGGCTCATGTAACAAAACTGTCCAGGGACAGATTGGTAGAATGTGACTTGGGGGATCAACAAGATCGACAGAGCAGCTTTTCACACTTTTCATTTCTAGACTGCAGCTCCTGAGCCTATAACCTCTTTTTCATACGAGTTTCCTGAAAGATTAAACTAAAGTCTTGTAATCAATTTTCATTGGTCCTCATTGGTCTTAGATCTCTGCACTGATCCTGAAGCAATCCCTATGGCCAAGAGGGATGGTGCATAGTGACTGGCTTGACCAGGATCCAGAGGTCCTGGGGTGGAGTCAGCCTCATCTGGAACATCGCGGGCTGGGGTGGAGGTGGGGGCATCTCCAAATAAAAATGAGAGCCTTTCTGGAAGAAGGGAGACAGTAGATACTAAGGAGGAATTATGTTTTAAGAAAACAGATCCCAACAATTTTTAGAACAAGTCAGATGACAAAAACACAAATGGACAAATTCTTTCATCCTCCATACTTAGGACCAGTCAATGAAAACTGACTTTGGAATAAAGATTTAAAAATCAACATATATACAAAACACGGTCACTCAAAACTCTAAGCACCCATATATTAGTGGATCAGCAGTTTTATGAGAACAAAGGAAGGGCGTAATTAATTCCAATTTACAGATGCCAGGGTGTCTTCACAATAGAGATTTTTTTTTAGTTGGGCCTTGAAATATGGAGGTGCTTCTGGCAGAGACCAAGTGCATGGCCATAGCTGGTTGAAGATGAGCAAGTAACCTGGTGAAACTGAGGTACAGGATAATGGGTCAGAGCGGAGCCTAGGAATGGAAAGACCAAGCTGTGGAGAATTTTTCCCACCATGCTATGCTATAGAGCCTGGATTTTTAACCTTCAAGCAATTAGGTATTGTTTAATTTTTAAGCATGTAAGTGACAAAATGGAGCCTGTATTTAGAGAGCTACAGGAATAGATTAGACAGTTTCCGAGAAGGAGGAAGGAGATAAGGAGATAAGTATGGGGGAGGGGGGATAAAGCTAAGTTTTAAAGCAGAAGGCTGAGGGGGTTCAATCCTAATGTTCTTTATCTTGTCTATGGAATAGGAAGAGGGAGTACCTTCTGAGTGTAAGGGGGTGCTATGCAGTTAGCCGGGGTGCTGGGAGTTTCAATTAGCCAGAAAGCTGCATTACCAAAACGCTGTCGGAAAGACTGTTCAATAAACTCTTCCATCATATAAAGTCACACATGTTACATTAGTGGGTGAACTGAAATCCAGAAAAGCCGAATACAATTTGCCTGTAGCTTATTTCGCCATAAGTTGCAGACAGAAAGATTATAGGTAACACTCAGGTCCTTGTGACCACCAGCAGGGCATATGAGGGATGTGGTTCAGGGCTTGGTAGGAGGCGGCACAGGAGGCCACAGGAGGGAGGAAGCCAGGGAAGGGCAGTGTGAGGAGTGCAGTAAGAGGCAATGTAGGGAAGACAGCCTGACTGCCCTTGATGCAGTATTTTAACAAGCAGCTAAGAGCAGCACATGGCCCGGAGGGGTTTGTGACAGCAGCAATGTGGAGTGGCTTTGGGGTTCAGATGCAGCATTGCTGGCTGAAGCCACCTGTTTCATGAAAGGATCTGCTATGCCATGTTCCATGTTTCATTTTTTTAGTCACTGTCGCAAATTCTCAAATAAGTTGGACAGATGCTAATGAAGTTAGGCATTCTTCATATATATCTCCTAGCACTTGGCCTTAAAATGTCATATTTAAAATTAATTACCAACAACATCTTACATTTGCTTGGTGCTTTGCAGTCAAAAAAAAATCACTTTCAAATATATTTTCTCATTTAGTCTTATTCAACCTGGTAAGGTAAACAAAAACAAATACAATAATTTCCCATTGCCTGTCCTCACACCCTCCACCCCCTCAATTACAGAAGAGAGATTAAATCATCTAGGCAGTCACAGCTAGGACAAGAACTCTCAGTCTAGAGTTTTCCTACTAGATCACTACATCGCCTTTTAAAAAGGCTGATGAGTATTCTCTTAAGGAAGCCAACAATGGGCGTATCTGTACACAGTTGACTTTAATCATTTAAAACTCTAACAGGGAAGAACGGGGGATAGTAGTGCTTATCTTTGTGATGAATGTGCATTTGCACACACCCAATGGCAAAGCATGTGGTCATAACTGAATCACTTTAAAAAGCAATGAAATGGGGTTTCTTAAGAATCAATTACTGAATAATAAATGATTATTTTGTGTTCAATAAGTACCTGATGAATAAAGCATATAATAAAGATTAGCAAATTAAGAACTAATTCTGTCAAATTTCATCACATTTGCAGTCTTGTGTTAAACCTCAGACATTTCCTAATTTATATATAGTCTTTAAATAAAAAAATTCAGGAAACACATTTGGACAAAACTTAATACAATTCCAGGCATTCAGTAAGAGTATCAATCTCTTGATTCAAAGTTGTGTTGAAATGATCAGCATCTTGAATTTGGACTTTTTTTCACATTATATTATTCCGAATTACAGAAATGGTAGGTCTTTAGGAAGAGATATAAAATAAAACCCTTCACTTACAATAAAGACCCAGATGAGACTGAGGACTCGCATAATGTCTTCAGTTCTAAAATGAATGTATATGGTACCTACTTCTGGTTTCTCAGCTGCTCTGCCCTGGAAGTAAATCTTGTTAAACCAAGATTCGGCAAAAGCGGGTAAGCTTTTGATTTTTCATTCCCTTCATTGAATCCTTGGGTGTCCTCTTTGCATGCTTCCAAAGTAACCGACTCGCAACAGGCCTTGGCAGTGTCAAGTCTTCTTAAGCAAGAGGCGGAAGGTTGAGTTTGAAGGCATCACTCCGTAATGTTCTTTTTTCGGAAAGTGATGAAGAAAATACTGTCAGGTGGAGACAACTGTATTTGGTCTGCCCCACTGAGACCTTTCAGGGGAAAGTAAAATGGAAAGGGATCTAGAAGATCTCGGATGAGAGAACAGTCATCAAGAAGACCAAAGTACGCTTGACTTCCATTACCTTTTTCAAATCTTCCCACATTCTACTCCACCCCTGGCTCTGAGTGAAGAGCAATTTACAAGACAAAGTGAAACATTATCTAGAGATAAATTTACAAACTGACATAAGAAAATTGTCCCAGAGGCTACATTACCTCTTCAAGTTTATTACAGTATCTTTCGTTCTTATTGCATATATGGTTACATGCCTTTTACAAGTCAGGAGTATAGAGACACTATGCTCAATTTAGCAGGAATTACGTCTATTGCTTCTCTCTTGAAAATCAGCAGCATGCAGTGCAATATTTGGTGTGCGGAGTTATTGTTTCAAAAAGTGAAAAACTACTTAGGTTTAACTGAAGAGGGAACATGATCTTTATTGGTTTATATGCAAAGTTTAATTTTGGTTTTATGCAGAGTTTGCATAGTTCATGATTATTTTTTAATGAAAAACTAGATGTGTTGTCAGTGACCTTGAAGGAAATCAGGTGACAGTAGCAAACAGAAAAATTTGAAGAAGAGGCATAACTTTTAAAGTAGAAAGGTCAGCAAGAACGGCCTGAAACGAAAAAAAAACAAAAAGAATTATTAATATCAGTATTCTAACTGGGAAGTCACAACAGAAACACACTGCAATGTAATTCTGGCATTGACACCCTAAGTTTTTCACATGTGTCCTAAATCTGTACTGAAGCTCCACCCTCCCTCCTCTTTTCTGAACATCTTAATGTTACAACATGTGCAAGATGCTCAAACGTGCAGTAGAAAATAACCTCGAGCCTTCTTCAAATATACAAGGTAGCAGGAGTTTATAAGAGGTCTAACATTTCAACTTGCTTCTATAAATAAACGTACATTATGAATCTTGGTCCCGTTATTCTAGTGTGCGGAGTATCTGGCTTCAGGAAATCATTTTGAGATGGAACTAATGTTTATTCAATCGCAAGATGCATAAACATCCTCTTCCCTTTAAACAAAGAATGTAGGCAGCTATTTTAAGGGTAAAATTTGAATTTCTATGAGAGATAGGAAATAGAGTAATATGGTAAGCCACCATTTAATTGAACTGTGTTTCAGGTATAAATTATACTATTGAAAAGAAACCAGCTTTAAAGAATTAACTCATTATTAAAAATAACCAAAAGCCATGTATCTTTACTCTGTCATCGAATGCATGCTCTTTAACTCTCTCAACCAGTTTTTCTTTGTGTTAGCAGAATACGTGGATGTGAACAATAATAAGAAACTCCAACCAAAGCCCCGGTAGTTGCTACTAAAATTACTGGGTATCTTGTTTCCCATAATGGTTATAACGGTTTCCTATAATAATCTTGTTTGTGATTCATTCACAAGAAGATTGTCTTCACCTAATTCAGGAATTCTGAATACCTGATGTTACTTAGCTTGAAACTTATAGTTTTACCCGAGTTAAAAAATTAGGCTATGAGTAATGTGTATCCTATGCATCTGAGACTGAAGTGCCCGAGCCTGGCAATCTCTCAGGAACTATTTCCATCCCATCTGAGTGAAACTTATCCTTACTTCAGCTGCAGCCAGTGATGTCACCTCCATCAGGTTCACTGCTCGGAAAGCAAACACAGCAGCTGCCAGCACTGGAAAAGAATGCACACTATTTCAACTGCTGGCCTACTCATCAGCCTGACAAATTTACTGCTCTGCCCACAACCTACTAGGAGAGCTCAGAACTAGTGCTTTACAGGACTGCACGCACGCATTCTGAGTTAAGGTCTTGTGATGAATGGAAATCATCTCCTCTGGAGGACAGAGTGCCTGATGGCTAGGTAAAATGAATCCCACCGTTTTGGGAAAAGGAAAATTCAGTGCTCTTATAAGAACCATTTATAAATTGTTTTATTTCATATCTATCATACGTTTTTATTTTATTTAACTTATTTTTTTAAAAGATTTTTTGTTTTTTTATTCATGAGAGAGAGAGAGAGAGAGAGAGAGAGAGAGAGAGAGAGGCGGAGACACAGGCAGAGGGAAAAGCAGGCTCCATGCAGGGAGCCTGACTGGGACTCGATCCCGGGTCTCCAGGATCACACCCTGTGCTGAAGGTGGCGCTAAACTGCTGAGACACCCAGGGTGCCCACATCATACGTTTTTAAATATAAGTAAATAAAAAACAAACATAATAAAAATAAATAAATAAAGGTTTATTTCGATGCAGGTGTTTCTTACTAATGCAATAGGGTTCTGGAAAGTTATATGGAGACTGTATTTTTATTTTTAAAATTTTTTTTGAGACTGTATTTTTAAATATATCAGATCATGTTTCATATATATCAAGGTGTCCTCATAGAAATGTGCAATAAATATTTTTCTTAAAAATATTTTTATAACATTTTGTTATACTTTTGTATTCCGCATTGACTTTCTTAGAGTGTTCATAAATGGATAGGTCTGTGGGGAGAGCCTCTGTGAACTGATTCTGAAATTTACGTTAATACTGGCTATAGGAAAAAGAAGTTGAAACTTTGAAAAAATAATTATAGGACACCTTAAAGATCAATAATGTACATAGAATAGAAAGCAATATTTGAGTTTTTGTTTCTATCAATCATGCATATGACAAGAAAGTAATGCTAATGTGTAATCTTTCTTATTATGTAACCTGACATAAAACCCCACGTGAGGGAATGTGTCATCTTGAAAAGTGAAAGGACCCATGTAAGAGGTAGGTATCCTGACAAGGACATGGTACTGCTTACAGATGACTCGACTTCCCTCGTTTATTTATTTTTTTTAATCACCAGTGGTGGTAGTTTCCTTTCTACCCAAAAAGTCCTTGAAATTTAGAAAATAAATGGTACGGAATCTTCAAAATTATTTGAAAGACTGGCTCCCAAATATATGGCATAGCTAATGCAACTATATATATACATTTTTACTATGGGAATATTAATAATAATGCTAATTATATTTTCTTTTTTTTTTAAATTTTTATTTATTTATGATAGTCACAGAGAGAGAGAGAGAGAGAGAGGCAGAGACACAGGCAGAGGGAGAAGCAGGCTCCATGCACCGGGAGCCCGACGTGGGATTCGATCCTGGGTCTCCAGGATTGCACCCTGGGCCAAAGGCAGGCGCCAAACCGCTGCACCACCCAGGGATCCCGCTAATGATATTTTCATACCAACTCCATGAGTCAAGTACCATTGGTGGCCTCATTATATTAAGATGGAAACTGAGGCCCAATGAGTTTGGAAGCCATGTTTAGAGTCACCCAGGTAGAAAATAGCAGAGTGAGGGGCAGCCCGGGTTGCTCGGTGGTTTAGCTCCATCTTTTGCCCAGGGTGTCATCCTGGAGACCCGGGATCGAGTCATGCGTCAGGCTCCCTGCATGGAGCCTGCTTCTCCCTCTACCTTGGTCTCTGCCTCTCTCTCTCTGTGTCTCTCATGAATAAATAATACAAATTATATATATATATATATATATATATATATATATATATATATATATATATATATATATATTTTTTTTTTTTTTTTTTTTTTTTTTTTAAAAAGAAAGAAAATAGCAGAGTGAAAACTTAACCTTGGCTCTGGAGCCAGAGCATCTAACCATTCACCATGTGATGATTTTATTGAGATTGAAGGTAAATAGTAATGACTCTTCCCTGACATGAAACTCTGGGTGCTTTCCTCTGAATTGTAATCTCTGTTGTCCTTCAGAATGGTTTTCCAGAGATGGCCTGAAGCATGATGCCATGCATCATGATGCTGGGCTCTGACAGGTAGGTGGCTGTGCATGAGGAGTACAAGTCAGCATCCACACCCCTTAACTTTCCCAGAAGGACACGGAATGCAACTAGACCAACCTGGGAAGCAGGCATTTTTCTAGGGTACAACAGATTTTGGACAGTCTGGCAAAAAAAGGCAATCCAACTAGCTAGAGAGGAAAACTCCAAGGGAAAAAAAGATGGTACCAGTAAAAAAAAATTTAAAAATTTGGGGATTATTTAATATGTAACAAAGGATACAAGAGGTCAGGGACAAAGAATTTACCTTTTAACTGAAAAGGAGAAAACTACTTTAAAGTCACTAGGCTCCTAAATTTATAAGAATATCAAAGAAAATAATTTCTGTGGACCAGAAACTTCTTTAATATCTGGAATCATTTTGACAATGGTTGACATTTGAGAAGCTAAGGAGTGTGACTGCTACTTCCTTTTTTGTGTATAATTTAACAGAGTTGGTGAAAGCCTGACAGGATGGCCAAATTTTCTGCTGTAGCAGGAAAGAGTTTTACATGGCGGGAAATTGTTTTTCCAAAGGTAGATAAGAGGGGGAAAAAAAGATCAGCTCACTAATTGACCTCAGCATCCAAAATGCTTATGTGCTCATAACCTTTATTTATCTTGGTGTCACATCACAGAAGTTCCTTTGCGTCTGCTTCATGTTTGATTTGCCCAGCCCTTCCGCAGAACACATTTGTTTGCCAAGGAGAAAAGATCTCCACTTTGGGATATTTTCAACTGCAATCACACTTCAAGGGAAATTCAGAAACTCTAATATTTACTTTTGGTCTTTTAAGCTATTCTCATTGAAAAAAAACCAAAACAGCTATTCTCATTGCTTTAATTCTAAGCAATTTTATCACAAGCATTAAGACACTTATGCTCTAAACTGTTTTTCAAAAGACCCTAATTAATTCATAATTAAAGCCAGTAATATTTACTAAAAACTTGTAAAGACTATATAATGACTAACTTGGGCAAAAAAGGTGGTCCCAAAATATCCATTCCAAAAAATGTCTGAAATAATAAAAACTAATTTGGGCATACGTACACAAAATGGTTTTCTGTGTAGGTATACCCGTGGCCCTTTATCTGAATTCATGGTATGGGAGTTCCCACCAGTCTAGTTCTATTTCTAGATGCTCTATAATTTTCCCTGTTGACTTAAGAAACACTCAGGGAAAGTGGATGGATACAACAGTGCATATTGTATTTCTACCTATTCATCAGTAACACTTCTATTGATGCTTTGAGCTTGCAGCACAGTGCCTAGTTTAGAGCAACTGCGTCATTCAACATTCATTTATTTCTCTCTGACTTCAGTGTGCTGATGGGTGATACGTCATAGAATGAGAAAATTTAAACTGGAAGAGGTCTTGAAGATCTTCCAATTCAACATTTCTTTCACAGTGGAAAACCTTAACCTTTGGTTGACAGTTAAAAAGCCCCTTCTAGTTTTGAAAAATCCTCATTATTAGAAAGTACTTTCTTATATTGAACCTCTTTCTTTAACATTCTCTCTTTTTGAAATGATACAAAAAACTATATACAACACTCTTCAACAAAACTTAGGACATACCCAGAGGAGGTTTATTTGCTATTTATTTTAAAGTCTAAAATCCTGTTGCCTGAGAAATGGTAAAAAAAACAAGATGTCTTAGCCTGGAAAGTAGAAGCTTTGGGGAATGGTGAAAGTAGAAAAAACATGATGATGACCCTGGTTTAATAGGATTACATTTTGGCTACGTTGTCAGACAAGGACCATCCAACTGAAGTGTTCAAACAGAGGATGAGGGCTACCTGTCAGACATGTCTAAAAGAGTCAGACAGGGATCCCTGGGTGGCGCAGCGGTTTGGCGCCTGCCTTTGGCCCAGGGCGCGATCCTGGAGACTCGGGATCGAATCCCACGTCGGGCTCCCGGTGCATGGAGCCTGCTTCTCCCTCTTCCTGTGTCTCTGCCTCTCTCTCTCTGTGTGACTATCATAAATAAATAAAAATTAAAAAAAAAAAAAAAGAGTCAGACCTGGGCAGACTGGGTAGCTCAGCAGTTTAGTGCTGCCTTCAGCCCAGGGCCTGATTCTGGAGACCCAGGATCAAGTCCCACATCAGGCTCCCTGCATGAAGCCTGCTTCTCCCTCTGCCTGTGCCTCTGCCTCTCTCTCTCTCTGGGTCTCTCATGAATAAATAAATAAAATCTTAAAAAAAGAAATAAAGAAAGCAAGCAAGCAAGCAAGCCAGACCTGACAACCTCTAGGATCTAAGTTACATGTACTACTGCCATTCAGCTAAGAGAAATGAAGGCAGGCCCTCCTTTCCTAAGTCATATCTGTGTGGGCTTAAAACCCAGTTGAGGTAGAAGGATACTAGGATTGTTAACGTCAGTAACTGGTATCTCCAATTGCACCAAGGGTGATGTTTATCTTCATGGCATTTTATTATTACTCTAATTTTCCTTTTTGAAATGCCATACAATTACTCTAGACACCTCAGCATTCAAGAATATGTTAATATGGTACCTAAAGAATCTTCCGCAAGTAAAGGGTCTTTTTCAATTAAACATTATTTCCACAAACCCAGAGACGTGTCCTTACAATGCTATCAATATAAGGTAAGGAAATGAAGACTCACGCAGGTTAAATAATTCATTCAATATTACACAACTGGAGAAGGTTGTACCTAGCACTTTGCCAACTTCTCTGCCCTCCAACTACTGTTGTGAAACCCTTGTGCTAATTATTTGAATTTCCTGATAATCCCAATGATAAAAATAACTGAGACTATTTTGTATAAGAGAAGCAAAATAATATAATTAACAAGAAATCTGCACCGTATGTGTTACCAAATAGCTGTCTTGTGTATATCTTGTGTATACCTATTGTGAGAACTGCTTAATTATAAAAAAAGAGAAAAATCTGTGGCCTCCTGAAAAAAAAGATGAAATTTTTTTTGGCTTAAGAGAATACCTAACAAGAGGAAATTCAACCACCAGGAGTCAGAGACTCCTAGCAAAAAGGAAGAGGTTTTGAATTCAGTGGAAACCGAAGTCCAGAAAAGCTGAGATTTCAGCTTTGCAGAGAGGCTCAGTGTCAGTTTGGATTTTAGGCAGTGGTTGAGAAGGGGCATAGAACAGATGCTAAGAGAGGCAGAGGAGCCAGGAATAGAACTGAAGTATTCCTACACTCCGCTGCAGAGACCTTACAGGTACCGAGAAGAGAGTAAGCAAGCCCTGGCTAAACCAAAAATGGACTTTCCTGGGAGCAAAGAAGAAAGATTAGGAATACACTAGTATTGGGAATTTACATAGGGGTATCTAGATCTCAGAACTTTAGTACTTGTTTTCTAAGGCAGATAAATCAATTAAATATTAGGAATTGGAAATGACAGATAACTCTAGACTCAAATTGCAATTACAGATGGTGAATGTTAGAAAGGAAAGGGACTTTATTATAGAAACATGTATCTTACAAACAAACACTTATTACCAGCAAGAATTTCCAGAGAGTTGTATCCTAGGATTCTATCCCACAAAAGCAGGAGTTGATCTGTAGCTAAGTATCCAGAAAAAGCTCGAACCATCCATTTAAAGGATATGCGAAGTCTGTAAGCAAAGGAAAAAGAAAACAGATTTTACCAGTGGCTTTTCTTTTCTCACAAAAAGGCAGTATCAGGAGAGCCAACCAATTCTATTGTTAACTTCTTTGTGAGTCTTAGACATCACCTATGCATTTAAATCTCACAGGCTCTCTTAAAAGCTGCAGAAGTGCAATGGTGAGAAACCATGAGTCTTCAAATTAGCAGTCTCAATGTATTAAGAAGAAAAATTATATCTACTTTGTTATAGTTCATTCAGCCTTTTGCAGGACACCTGGGCGGCTCAGGGGTTTAGCACCTGCCTTCAACTCAGGGCGTGATTCTGGAGTCCTGGAAGTGAGTCCCGGGATCAAGTCCCACATTGGGCTCCCTGCATGGAGCCTGCTTCTCCCTCTGCTATGTCTCTGCCTCTCTCTCTCTGTGTGTGTCTCTCATGAATAAATAAATAAAATCTTAAAAAATATATTTAGTTCAGCCTTTTGAAAATTCACTCACTTCTATGTTCTGTTTTTTCAGGGTCTCTACTAATTAGCTACCAACGAGGTGATCTTAAGAGTTAACAGTTCTTAACAGCTCAAAACTCATGATTATTTGAATTTTTATTCAAAATACTTCAATGCTAGGTAGCTGTATACTTTTCCAATTCAATAAATTATATTCCTACATTTTTCAATCAAATCGTTACATAGGCTGAATAAAAACAACAGGCAGTAGTCTTTAAAGGCAAAGAAAAATAGTTTTAAAGCTATAAGGGACCCTGGAAATAGATTTCTAATTTCAAACCCTTCATTTTAAAGGGGAGATTAAAAAAAAATAAAAAAAAAATAAAAAAATAAAGGGGAGATTATCAGAACTCTGAAAGATCAACCAGAACAGTCAAATGATTTTTCCAAAAAAACCCACAAAAAGCCAAAACCTGATATGAGATCCCACTATTTGTAAATAGGTTATGTTACAATAATAATTTATGTCTGCAATCAGGAAATGAACTCCGTAGCTTTGGTGCCTTAAGAGAGAAACCAGTCCCTCACACTTCCGTACTATTAGCCTCTAAATATCACTTGCCTGCCCCTGAGAGGTGCTAGCCAAACTCTTAGCTGGAGCTGTTACAATACTATGTAGATAAGTATCTGTGCTATTTTTTCAAAGCAAGAGAAAGGGACTTAGAGACTGCCATTGTTGATGTGATATTCATACTCTTAAGACCAAAAAAGACCCCCAAGTTTTTGGAAATTCTTCAAGACTAGAAAACTATTACTCTAATATAACAAAGTACATGTAGGGAGTAGTACTGACAAATTAAACTTCTTGGCTGGTTTTAGAACATCTGTTTATAAATACCGAAGAAAGTTTTGGCCAGACATTTTAAATTAAAAAAAAAAATCATTTGACTTTTAAGTCCAAATTATTAATATCATCCAATTTCATTTTAATAGGTCTTTCATCGTGTCTTATTAGAACAATAGCGCCACACATTGTGCCCTCTTCCAAATATAGCGCAGAATAAGTTTCTTAGAAATAAAGTTTATTGAAGTATAATCTATGGATAGTAAAATTTACCCTTATTAATGCACAATTCTATGAGTTTTGTTAAGAACCAAATGGGAACTTTGTTATTTTTTAATAATAAATTTATTTTTTATTGGTGTTCAATTTACCAACATACAGAATAACACCCAGTGCTCATCCCGTCAAGTGCCCGCCTCAGTGCCCGTCACCCATTCACCCCCACCCCCCGCCCTCCCCCTCTTCCATCACCCCTAGTTCGTTCCCCAGAGTTAGGAGTCTTTATGTTCTGTCTCCCTTTCTGATATTTCCCACACTTTTCTTCTCCCTTCCCTTATATCAAATGGGAACTTTAAAAGTAAAAATACAATAACAACAAAACAGAACAAAACAAAACAAAAAATAACCCTCACTGGATAGATCCAAAAGCAAAATGGTAATGACAGAGAAAGAGTCAGTGAATTTGAATATACATCAATAGAAAGTATCTAATCAGAACAATCAAAAAGGATTGAAAACAAAATGAATAGAGTTTCAGGGACCTTGGGGATGAGACCAAAAGTTTCAACATTTGTGTCACCGGAATCCTAGAGGAAATGGAGAATAAGTATAGTGCAGATAAAAATATTTAAAAAATAATGGTTGAAGATTTCCTAACTTTGGCAAAAGACATAAGCTTACATAAGATTCAAGAACCTCAGCAAACTCCAAGAAAGTATAAACACAACAGAAATACATGCCCAGATACATCATAATCAAACTTCTGAGAACTAAATACAAAGAGAAAAAATATTTTTTCCTGAAATGTTTGGCAGAATTTACCAGTGAAGCCACTCAGGCCTGGAGTTTATTTGAAGGTAGAATGTAATTAATTAAAAATGTATATTATAAACCGCAGGGCATTGTTATGGACTGAATGTTTGCGTCCTCCCATCGCCCCCACCTCATTCTATGTTGAAACTCTATCCCAAGGTGAAGGTATTAGGAGAGAGGGAGGGTCTTAGGGTAGTAATTGGAATGTGAATAGTTACATGGGTGAAGCCCTCAAGGTTGGGATTAGTGCCTTCATAAGAGTCAAGGGAAAATTTGTTTCTCTTCTCTGCTCTCCACCATAAGAAAATACAATAAAAAGTTGGCAGTCTGCAGCCTAAAAGAGGGTCCTCGTTGGAACTCAACCATGCTATCACCTTGATCTTAGACTTTCAGTTTTCAGAACTGTGGGAGATAAGTTTCTGTTGTTTAAAAGCCACACAGTTTATGGTAATTTGTTAGAGTAGACTGAGGGGTGTCTGGTGGCGCAGTCGGTTAAGCGTCTGAGTCTTGATTTTGACTCAGGTCATGATCTCAGGACTGTGAGATGGAGCCCTGCACCAGGCTCCATGCTCAGAGGGGAATATTCTCTCTCTTCTCTCCCTCTGCCTGCCCGCCCCCTCCCCTGCTCTTGTGTGTGATCTATATCTCTCATTCTCTCTCTCTAGAAAGAAAGAAAGAATTGACAAAAACATTGTGAATTGAATGAAAATTAAAACATAATATATCAAAATTTGTTGTGGGGAGGTAATGTGGTGCTTTGAAGCAATTTATAATAATATTGTTTCCATTAGAAAAGAAGAAAGGTATCAAACTCATGATCTTTCACCTTAAGAAGACAAGAGCAAAATATACCTAAGGCAAGCATAAGGAAAGAAATAAATATAAGAGCTAAATTAATGAAATTAAAGACAGAAGAATAGAGAAAATCAAAACAGAGTTCTTTCAAAGAAGGATAAAATTAATAAACTGCTAGCCAAACAATCAAGAAAAGAGAGAAGATACAATTATCAATATTAAGAATGAGAGAGGTGTTATAACTGTGATTCTCTTGATTTTAAATATGAAGAAGTTGAATTATCTTGACTTAAAGAATTTGAGACTTAGTCAAATTAAATTACTTCATTAGGATTATTCAGTTTAGTAGATAGAATTTAAATCCTGGTCTCTTACACCCACCCACTCATCCATCCATCCATCCACCCACCCACCGACCCACCTATCTGATGTGGATTCAAGTGTAGAAAAGACAAATACTAAACTACTATTGTATTTCCCATTAACTACTTTTGTGGTCTCAAAGAGTTAATGCTTCTTTCAAATATGCCCTAAGAGGGGAAACTAGTTTCGCAGAGGGGAAGACAGTGACAAAACATGAATAAATCATTTAGAAACTTCTGTTGCCTTAGGCATTGTTATTTTTAAAAAAAGAGAAGAGAATCAATAATACTGAAGTGAAGAGGTAACCCTACAATATGTAGGGTTGTGATTTAGTATTGGTTTGGTATTATCACATTTCTTAGGTGGTATTTGTGTTCACAAATTTCTGCCTCAGTTTTGGCCAATACCTGTAATTATGAAGAGAAATTAGTTTATTTTGGTGATTCTTATACCAAACACAGAAATTCTAACAAATAAGAATTTATTAGGATTTTGCTCCCAAGAATTTTTGGTACAATGTAGAGCTCCATCTACTACTTGATAATTATTGTTTTATTGGAGATATTTTTAGTTTAATTTCTCTAAAGAATTACTCTATCTTTAAAAGTGCTTTATGGGTGACTGGGTGATGGGCACTGAGTGGGGCACTTGATGGGATGAGCACTGGGTGTTATACTATATGTTGGCAAATAGAACTCCAATAAAAAAAATACCAAAAAAAAAAGTCCTTTACAATGATGTAATAGAACCTTCTGAGGTCAAATTATCTATTCTTCAATTAGGAAAGGTACTCACGGTTGAGCCCCAATTTCTCGTAGATGATAAAAGAGCTGGGGGAGATAGGTTTGAAGAAGAGTTTCAAACAGCAAACAGAGGGACACAATACCCTGGATATAATAACAAAACACAAAAGAAATATACATTTTAGTATTTAAAAATTAACTCTGCCAATAAAGTATTCAAATGGAAATGAGGAAAAATTATCAATATAAATATTCTCATATTGTCTAAGAGTAAAAAACTGGAAATGCTCTAATGTCGTCTAATACTGCGGTTAAAAATACATTTTCCCCCTATTTATGGATACTTAAACTATTATAGATATGCCAAGGAGCCTCCTTTTTAATACAATAGGATCCTCATATAATCTGGTATACAATATACAGAGTCTAAGGAAAACATCATTTTATAGAAAACCTGCTACTTTGTAAGCCCTCTATTATCACTTATGTCCAGCAAACTAGTTTTTTCTGGATGCATTCCAGTTTCCAGGTATTTCTCTGCTACTATAGCCACACCCTTACACTCTCCTTCCATATGTCCCTTCCCTTTCAGCTGCCTCACCCATCCAGGAAAATATTTCCTGCTTTTCTCACTCTTTCTTTGAAATCGATTCCCAGGGGAAGACTGACTACTGACTGCTTGAAATTTGCATCAGGAAGTTATCAAACAAGAATGTTTGATATTTTTTTAATTGAAATCTACTTTTTATCAGGGCATTATTTGTAGAGGACAAGAGGTAACCAATTTAAGCAGATGGTTTTTTAAGTGCTTTTATTACTTGACAACTCTGAATAAAGTCTTTCTTGTAGCTCAGCATTCCTCAGGGTTGATCTTTGTGAGGAAGTTTTAATCCTCTTTGTGAGTTTCTAAAGAAAAAAGGCTGGCATGGTTCCAAATAGTTCAATCTGGCTGCAAGCCAGAAAAGGAGCTGACCAACTCTAAGTCTTTATTCCACCGAATAAAGAAAGGGCAGAGGCAGGGCTGGCCCATCCAATCCACTGAAAAAGGACACTTCAGGGTCAGCATGGAGATAGAGAAGGAATATCCAGGGTTGCCTGATGTCAAGCTCCAGTGCTCTGCACAGGGAGAAAACTGTGGGTGTATACTGGGCAGCCAATTTAAAATTAAAAAAAAATTTTTTTAACTCTGAAGCATAAAATGGTACAGAAAACAGAATTATTCATATTTTTCTTATATGACTAAAAATTAGTGTAAGATAAGCACTAACTCAAGTTGTCTCAGAGAGCAGGAACCCAAGATAATTGGTGGTGCTTCTATTTGTTCATCGGAGACATCCTGGATCTCTGTTACTTGTCAGCATTCACTAGCAATGGAGGAGAGCAAGGTAGAAACAGAGGGAGGTGGACTAGGAATACACAGGGTTAAAGTGGGAGGGATAAGCAATAGTGATTTAGTTTAACAGCAGCCACAAAGTCTTCCCTTCAGGGAAATCTGGTTAGCCCTGATACATCCCAATTTAGTAAGAGTTAGTCAAGTTACCCACAAATGGACCACAGCAGGCCCAAAGGTGAAAAAAGTATAACTAAAGTAAAATAAATACTGTTTTAACTCAGGCTCATCGGTGGAAAAAAACATGTGATAAAGGACTGGCCAAGATAAAACAGATAAAAATGTTCAACTCCCAATATGCTCCTCTTTGATTTTCATATTGAGATCAACAGAGCTATCTACTGAATAAACACAAAGAAAATATCTAGTATGGTAACTGATAACTAGCCAAATGCGAAATTGAAAAATAAGCGACAAATAAATATTTGATTTCATTAAAAAAGAAGAAATTATGATGATAATCATGACAAAAACAATAATAAAAATAGCAGCTCTATAGCACTACAGAAACATTAACATATTAACTTCATCTCGATGAGGACATCAGTGTTCAAAGAGGGTAGGCATCCTTGTCAAAGTGAACAATACAGACATTTTTATATGTTTTTTTTCTGTTAACATATAAAAGATAATGTAACTGCAATTGATAAAGGCCCTTTTCCTCCCTAATTGTCATAAAAAATACTTAAATATCAATTTCTTCTTCTCTTTCATTTATTCTATGGAAATATATCGCTTGACATCACAAATTAAAATTTGTTGCTTTATAATTTAACTGAGGGAGGCTTTCTTAAGGAAAGAAAACAGATTATAGTCTAATTTGATTCAATTTTTATGAACTTACAGAAGGATGAGAAGAGATGGAATGGAGTCTGAAGAAAAAACGCACATACATCTCACGGAATATCTGATACAATTTGGAAGGCTCATGGTATAGAAAACAAAGTGGTGCAACTGAAAGAATAAAGAAATTAATTGATAACATTGCAGAACTATTAAAATTCAAGAAAATAAGTTAATGAAACATGAAAGAATAAATCAATTTTATAGTACTATTCATTCAAAGACAAGTTTAAAAATCATATATATCGTTTCTTCATGTTGAAATGGAAATATATACACATGTAAAAAGTGAGGCCTTAAAAATTATAAGGAAAGGATTAATTAAAAGCTACCATAATCCTAAATTAACAGAATGATGGAATGGAATTACATATAGAGGTATATTAAAAACACAAAATAGCTTTAAAAGACTATGTAAAGTCAAGTATCTCTCTTTTTTTTTTTTTTTTAATTGAAATAGTAAGAAAGTGAGATGCAGGCAATTCACTTTTACTTTGTTCCACAAAGGATCCAGAAAGTTTTTCAAAGTTTTATATTTTGGAAGTCAAGTAAGAAAATATAAGATGATTTATAATTAGCGTTTAGAATCATGGTCTTCAACTAATTCAATTTGAAAATAAAAATTTTGTTTTTGTTTTTGAAAATAAAAATTTTGATTAACAGTTTAAATTATTGGTCATTGAGACTGGTGAATCTCAACCTGTACAAAGACAGTTTCTATAGACTTACAATAAAATAACTCTCAGACAATGGATTCATTTCTCTAATGAATGCTGAATTAAGTTTTCCTTTGCATCCAGTTCTTGGCAGTTAAGCTCAGGGGTGTCAGCTCAATCAGACATCCCACAACTGAATGTCAGAAAGTCCTAATCTCAGATGCTGATGTAACAACATGATTATTCTGGACTGACATGGTCATGCTTTTTATCTTCTCAAACATTGAGAATTTTAGGCAGCATGAACACATTTATAACGCAGATACATAAAACTGCATTACCTAAATATTAATTTTAATACAAAATGACTTACCGAGTAATTTCAGCTATGATATAGAACAGACAAATTAGAAATTCTAAGGTTCCATATTCCATCAGTAATGCCCTGAGGGCAGTAGGCATTAAGTTATCTGGGAAAGCAGTGAGCCAACTCAATTCACTTTTTTTTGACAAAGTGAAAGGAAAAATGATAAAAAATGTTAAATTCTTACAAATAAAAAAAATCAATTATCTGGGCTAAATGGCAGCACACAGTATTACAGATGAGTAAATCATCAAAAGCTAGCAATGCAAGGGAGAGATTTCACTTTTTCTGAAGGGCAAAAGAAAGACAAATCAATTTTAGAGGAGTAAATAAATACCTACAAAAAAACCTACTTGTATATATAGAAAGAAAAATTTACATTATATACATACACATTTAAAAACTGACAGGCACATCTTTCCATTTTAAAACTAACTTTAAAAACTTATTTTACCACCAAAATAAATTGCTATTTCTTAAAATAGCCCAAATTAGGGTATTCTATATATTTAAAAAGAATAACTCATATTCTAATTGCAACAGTCTAAGAAAAAAATAATGTGGCACAAATACATATTATTATAAATTCAAAGTGAAACGTTGAAATTTATTTAATAACCTTTTTATGCATTTTTTCCTTTAACTTTTAAAGTTATTGATATGTAAAAATCTATAATCAAAATCTAAAGATTTTATGGGTTCAGTAATTATTTATTATCATTTCCAGTGAAGGAATAAAAGAGAATTTTAAAATTAGCACTTTTTACAAACATGTATAATACAAAAACCTTCACAATCAGTTATTATTACTCAAGATACCACTACTGTTTGTGTTGAATTCCTTATATAGCTATGAAATGAAAAAGCTTTAGTCTTTTATATGATATGTAAGAAATCTACATGAGTTTATTTTCTATTTAAAATACATTTCCCTATTTGGTTTGTGGATGTTCAACATACATTTCTAAAATAGTATAAAGAGACTCTGTACTGAACATTTTGCATCATCTACTTCCTTAGTGAACATTAAACCTTAGCCTACTTAAGTGACCAGAAATGTGAATAAGCAGAGTCAGAGTCAATGACGTGTTCTGTTGCCTAAGAATCGCTAGAAGATTTAAACTTTCATGACATCATTAATGTCCCCCAAATCACTCAAGCTCACTTTCTAAAAACGGCTTACTTGAAAAATTCTTGCAGTTGAAATTAAAATAGATAAGAGGCTAATATTTTTATTATTAGATGTAAAAATTTATATTCTTAACCTTTTGGGGGTACTCTATTTTAAAATCCTCACGTATTTATAAAAGAGAAATGTGCGGAAAGGTCATCATAATGTTATGTATCCTGTTATGAAATTTTGGTTGCTCAAGAGAATAAAGTAGGGTGCTCTGTAATTCAAGCCTGTGATCAACACCATCAAGAGAGGCATAATGCAAAGTTCCTAGGTCCTCTGAACTCGTTTCATTGTCTGGTTTTAAAAGTCTTACATTCACCATTATTGTCTGATGTTGAACACGGAGGGGCTTTTACAATGAAAAGTGTTAATGTACTGCTGATTCTTTTTATAAAAGTCAAGCATTAAAGTATTTCTGTTTAGTGTAAAGGTGGGGAGATAGCAGTTGTGGGTGACAATATTCTTCAACATGTTTATATGTAACATGTGAAAATTTAAAAATTAAATAGCATTAGGTGTCGAGCATTCTTCCTCTTGCTAATCTTCATTAAGCTTCTTGCATTCCTTATTCAATGACATGTGAGGCCAGAAAGGCATTCAGGGCTTTCGAGCCTGCACATGCGCTTTTCGTACTGTACCGCAGGACATACGAACGCTTTAGTGAAATTGTTGCTGTGTATGCCAGTCGTCTGGAGAAAGCATAGACTTGAACTCAGTGTTGGCCCTCCTTTCACATTCTTTCTGACCTATTATTTGTTTAAAAGACTTAGGAGAATTAGTTCAGGAATTTAAGCAACCTCATTTTACACCTATCAGAACTAAATACTAACGTGTATCTCTGGTTTCCATCGGATTAGAACATGGTCAACACAGGAGCACTTTCACAGTATGTTCTAATCTTAATTTGTCAAGCAATCATCTGAGAAATTATGATGATCCTTATTTTTAAAAAATTTAATTGGAGATATAAACAAATACTAAACTCAATGTTTAAAAATGTTCACGATAACTTGTTAAGTGGGTAGGTGATATGTTATAAAGTGTGATCTTCATGTCTAATTTTCTAAACTATAATAAAAACACTGAATATTTTAAAGCCCAACTTACCATACATTGAAAATCCATGGAAAGGGATTACTCCTAAAAAAAAAAAAAAAAAAAAAAGTTTCTTTTCAATTAGTATACCCACTGAGGTATTAGGTAAACTTTAGAGGATTAAAACTGAAAATAGAAAGGTTTCCTATTTTGCTTCAACTTTGTGCCTCTTATCTCCATAACTTATTCATTCCATAACTGAAAAAATGTCAGAAGACTTAGTGACAACAAAAGCACCAAAAAATGCTTTTTAATTTCTGTAGGAAAACAGACTAGAGGTTTTCAATAGATATCCAGTTAATTTTCTATTGATAATGTTGAAAAACTAAAACCTTGGATGTGTTATAAAAACAAAACAACAGAACAAGGCAGATCACAATTGAACAAATTATAATGGCCTCAGAAAGTCAATAGATTATGTCCTTCCTGAAACAACTTCATCCTGTATGTTAGAATCCAATCTGTTGAAAAGATAAGTGGCTGACTCACACAAACCGGTCACCAAACTTCCTGAGGTTCAGTAACTGCTTGTCACACACAGGAACTAAGACCGTCTCTGAAACATCATCAAGCTCTAAATTCTATGTTTAATAAGTATGTCTAGAGCGGATGCAGAGAAATTGGTGAGATCTAAAGAAAACCGAGGAAGGTCTTCCAGCAATAAGATCTTTACCAACTTAAAGGTCTTTTGCTCTCTAGGAACTGAAAAAAATTCAGAACCAGATTAGACTCACATTAAAAATCAACATTCCTAATGACATGAGAGCCACCAGCTCGAGTTCCATGGAGTACTGAGAATGAGGGCCCACACACCATCTTTCTTCAAGTTTTTCTCTCTGCTTGTATCTTTGGTTGAGTCTCTTATGAATGACCATCTTTTTCTACCTTCCCGCTCTGCTACTTAATTTTATTTCCTTTACTAATTCTAGACTTTTAACAAATAATAAAAAAGTCTGTCTTTTCTAACTTTTCTACAATAAAATTGTTGACATGTGAAAAAAAAACCTGAGAAAAAAATGAGTTAATAAATAGTGGGCACAGTTTGATGCTTTACAGAAATATAAGTACATATCTTTCTAAATACTACACCTCAAAGCAGGTGGCTATTATACCAAACCCCTACATTCTTACTGCAAAACTCCTTTTTCTTTCCTCTGTTAAGTTACTGCAGCGACATTTGAATAAGCAGGTTAAAGTAGTCAGAAATGAAGATGTTGCTATTATTATTTTCATCTTCTACAAATATTTATTAAGAAAAAAAAAGAAAAAAATATTTATTAAGGATCTGCTAAGGATAGGAATACCTTAGTCCAGACAAGCCATTTTTAATTAGAAGCTTAGAGCGAGTGAAGTCATGAACTGCCAAGCAGCAGAAAGGGATGCATACATAAAGACGACTCATGGCTAATCACACTTTCCCCACATTTCCCCCAAATTCTGAAATCTATAGCTGCTCTGTAAGCAGCTAGATTATAAGCTATTTGAGGCAAGGGCCACAATTCATATTGTGCAGTATCTTCTACAAATGAGATATAAATTGATGGAAACTTAAGCATTTATAGATATAATCAAAGTTTATAAATAAAAAAGTACAATAGAGAACAAACTAATGGTTGCGGGTGGGGGACTAAGGGGATGGGTAAAATGGGTGAAGAGGAGCAGGAGATACAGGCTTCCAGTTATTTTTTATTTTATTTTTTATTTATTTTTTTTTATCTACGATAGTCACAGAGAGAGAGAGAGAGAGAGAGAGAGAGAGAGAGAGAGAGAGAGAGAGTCAGAGAACAGGAGGAGGGAGAAGCAGGCTCCATGCCGGGAGCCCGACGTGGGACTTGATCCCGGGTCTCCAGGATCGCGCCCTGGGCCAAAGGCAGGCGCTAAACCGCTGTGCCACCCAGGGATCCCCAGGCTTCCAGTTATGTAATGAATAAGTTATGGAGATAAAAGGCACAGCATAGGGAACACAGTCATTGGTATTGCAGTAGTGCCGTATGGTGACAGATGGTAGCTATACTTGTGAGCACAGCATAATGTGTAGACTTATCCAATCACCATGCTGGTCATCTAAAACTAATGTAATATTGTGTATCAATGATACTCAATTAAAAAAATTAAAAAGTAAAAAACATTAAAGTGTAAGATTCATTTATGAATGGGGAATTAACATGTAGGATAGGAAACTTTCAATAACTCAGTGTTGAAATTAGAAATGGCCAATGAAGTCATACAGACACAAATATGAATTCTGTGTGACTCCTGTCAAGTTATCAACACTTTCTGAGTCTCTATTTTCATTTTTGAAAATGGAGATTAAAAAAAAAAAGAAAGAAAGAAAATGGAGATAAACAAGAGCAAGTTCGCTGAGCTGTACTGAAGCACCAGTGAGTTAATATACTTAAAGTGTAGCAGTACAGAGTTTAGGACACAGCAGATGCTCAACAACTGTAGCTATTTTATGCTCTCAGAAGGGAGAGTACCACTTTTAAGTATCAGCTTAAACCTAAGAAAATCTTTTTTTGTCACTATTAGATAAGGGTTCACTTCAGCTTAATCAAGATTAGCCAGGGTTTACGATTCCAAAAATGGGTGCATGGTCTACTCTGTGGAAGAAGGACAAAGTCAATTTCTGGCAAACAAAAGTAGAAGGCAGAAGAAGCAATGAAGAATCCATTAACACTCTCGGGCACGTATTGCCTAGAACATTTCTTTGATCTCAGAGGTTGTCATGTTCTTGGCCAGTTTTCCAAAATCCTTTCCTTTGCCTCTCATCACTTCAGCCTTGCAAGGGTCAAGTTTCATGCACGTGGCCATCATCCAAGAGTGTACTTCTAACAGGCGTCGGAATGCTTGGGACACCATCTCTTCTCTGGCCTTGGAGACCTACAAGTCTGCCATAACTGATTATTTTAAGATACTAGGCTTCCTTTGTCTATCTAAAGAAAGTCTAAAACATGAACTGCTTGTCCCATTCAATAGAAATAACTTTATAAAAGTAATAGTTTAATGGGCCTTTGACATAGCTCAGAATGGTAAACATGGTCAACAAAAATAAATCTTGAACTAGGTAAGATATAAATAGTAAATATGACTCAGAAAATACAGCAAATATTAACATGCTTTGCACTTACTAAATATTTCCCCTTCATTTCCTCACTGTCTCTGTTAATACTTTAGCATCTGTAGTTGTACCACAGCTCTCACATCTGATTCACATTAACATCATTCCAAATTTTTACCATCCTTCATTTGGGATTACTTAGTACAGTATTTAATTCATTTGTTGAGACAATCATTTTCTTTGGTTATTCTCATTCTACATGTAGCTTACAGATCAGTAAGAGTAGGCATTGGGACAATGGTTAAATTGTTTTCTAGCTATTTCTGTTATCTTTCCAAATTAGAACTTCAGAATATGACTTTGTTACTTATTTCCGTAAGTAAAATTTCCCAAATATCAGAACATAATCGTAGTTAAATATCAAGCTAAAAATCATACTTTAAATACAATTTTCATTAGGTTTTCAATTTATATCTAAAGTTACACATCAAATAAATTTTGGATTATTATTTAATTTAGATGACAGAGTATGGTGTTATTTATCAACTTGACACTTGTAAGCAGATTTAAAATTGACATATTTTTTCACTATTTCTTCTAGGGGCGTTTCCTAATCTTTGTTGTGAGGGGCTGTCCTGTGTACTATAGAATGTTGGTTTAATAGCATCCCTGGCCTCTACTCATGAGATACTGGTAAAACCCCCTTTCTCCCTGGCTCTGACAACAAAGTGTCCACAGACATTGGCAAATGTTTCCTGAGGGACAGGAGGTGGGGCATGGAATTGCCCTTGGTTGATAACCACTGATCTAGAGTCCCAGAACTCCTGTACCTAACGTTCACTGGCAAATAATTATTTTCACTTTTCTTGTAGGAAATAAATGGTATTAGTGGTGTTTATTTAAGTCTCAGTCAGATCTTTGTGTATCTTGTAAGTCTCAGCTCCTTGCTTCTATTCCTGTTCTTCTGTATTCTTCTATATTCACTCCCTCATTCATTTGCTCTCTCATTCAACATTGTTTACTGAGCAGTGACTTTATGCTATGCATGATTCTAGGTGCTAGATATGCTGATCATCAAAAGATCCTTGTTGCCTTGAAGCTTACATTAATTAGAGTGACACTTTCATTTCACACAATAGTTAAGGATGAACTTCAAAAAATGTTAGTCAGGAATTGAAGAGATGTCACTAAGAAGAATAGAGTAGGGAACTCCAAAACTCTCTATCTCTGCTAAAGCAATGGTTAAGCTGGCTAGAACTATTAGATCAACTTTTTTGAGTTCTGGAATCTAATAATAAGAAAAACACTTAGAACCAAGGAAATGCTTAATGAAAAAAGCAGCTGCTGAATTTTGGAAAGAGAGCATTGTGGTATTCTAATTTACCTGCCTACCATCACACACTGTCCAGTTTGGCGGCAGCTATGAAGATAACCGTCCATGTTCCTGGGGCAGCTTGCTGGTCCCAGAGTGGGCAACACGGATCTCGAATCAAAAAATTGTGGTTGTACGTTTTGACCTGTCTAGTAGCTCCCTGCCGGACTGGGCCAAAGAGGACTCCCCACTAATCAAAAGGCCTTAAGTACAAATTTACTAGCTGCAGCTCTCTGGGGCAGGAAGAGGCCGGGAAAGGAGATATATGGAAGAATAAAGGCTTAGAAAAGCTCCTCTATTCAGGGGAATCTAGAAGAGACCTGAGAGGCACTTCAGCTTTCACCTCTGCCAGATTCCTGGGCTCTGCGCATGCAGGAAGCGATGGCTGATGAACTATAAATGGCCTGGCTAAGCCTTGAAGGAGTACCTCAACATAGAGCCAGCCTGCAAAGCCTGGATAATTTATTTATTTATTTATTTTTGGTTTCAGATGTTCAAGGAAATCTCGGTCAAATTACCAGCTGACCACTAAGCTAATGCAACTGAGACTGCAGTGGGCACTCAACACAAAAAATACCATCTTGACAAGAGCAGTTTAGAAAGGTCACTAAACAAACAACTAGTGCATAACAAGCAACAACGACAAATTCTGGGGAGGGGAGACAATCCAATTCCTAGTTACCATGCTATAATATTCAAGATACCTAGCTGTCAACCAAAAATGTACCAAGCATGCAAAGAAAAGAAAGTATGGCCCAAGGGGGGGGAGGATCAAGAGTACACTTCTCATGATGAGCATGATGAGTAACATACTTATGGAAGTACACCCCCCCCCCAATCGCTAATATAACACTGAACTAATATAACACCGCATGTTAACTAACTGGAATTAAAATTTAAAAAAAAAGGATAGCTCATTCACAGGAAAACAAGAAATTAATAGAAGCTGTCCCTGAGGAAGCCCAGAGGCTGGACTTACTAGACAAAACTTTAGATCAACTGTCTCCCTATCTGACCTGGTCCCTAGGTCTCCAACCTCACCTTGTACCGGATGGTGTTTTGCCCGCTGTCACCAGTCACGCTGGCCATCTTGTTCTTCAAACCATCAAGTACGTTCCTGTCTGAGGCCCTTAAACATGCTCTATATTCCCTCTGGAATGCTCTTCTCCTACCTCTTTGCACAGCTCTCTCTGCATATTCTGGTCTCTGTTCATATATTCTACGTCCTCAGAAGTAGTTTTCCTGATCACCTTACCTAAGATAGCCACACACCCCCATCAATTTCTGTTCCCCTTCATTGTTTATGTCTTCACTCTCCGAAATTATTTTCATTAGTTATTTATTTACTTGCTTACTGTTTGTCTCCCCCACTTGGATATAAACTCGACGGCAGGTACTTTGGGTTATTACTGCAGATCACCCACCTAGAATAGAAGAGGGAGCCAGAGCAGGGCTAAAGTATTAAATGAATAAATGAGGACAAGTTATATAAAATGAACAAAAAATAAAAACAAGAAAAGCTTATATAATTTCTGTGAAGAGTCTCCTCAGCTCAGAAATTGTGCCTACCAGTTGTTTAGTGAATCCACTAGGGAAAGCCTATCCACTAGCAAGGCCTCAACCGAGGTGAGGAGGTAATGTTCAGTGCCACGGTGGCCTGTCATTTCAACCCTAGGGAAGGCGATACAGGGACGGAAGTGCCCCATGTAGGTACCTGCCTGGTCAGGGATGGAGACTGTGTCAATGAGCTGCAGGCCAGCCTCTCTGTATAGGCCCCTGAGACCAAGGAAGTCAGGCCAGTTTTGGTGGTGCTGGTGGTGGTGGAGGTGTCCCTAAGATTTTAAAGTAATCCTATCTTTGGCAGATGTTGAGTAAGTAATATATAATATTGCTTTGTATTGCCGTGAGTAAAGAATAAAGGGACAACACTCTGACTAGCTTTTGTCTCTTCTTATTCTGCTGCACTGCCCAGAGAAGGGAGTTCTCCCTGATTCTGGTAACATTCTAAAATAACCTGAAAGAAGAAATTATCCTGAAGAATTAAGGTTATGAACAGCTGTAGGTTTACCACATTTCACATTAAATTGCTCTTATTCTGAATGAAAATCTTTCTAGAATCCTTTATACGCATCTTCTTTTTCAATATATTAGCCCCTTCCTTTTCTTCTAAAAGACACTCTAGTGTACACAGTAACGTCTTCTGAGACCATAGGGCATGGTGATCAAGAATATTGAAGTCAAAGAGCTTTCGGCTCAAAGCCTGGCTTTGCCACTCACCAGCTGGGCAAGGTGACATGCCATGCCTCAGCTTCTTTATAGATTGGAATAATATTAGTACCTGCCTCAGTAGGTACCTGTCTTGTAGGGACTAAATGAATGAACACACGCAATGTGCTTACAGCATGCTACCTGGTACACAGTACTGCTTGGAAAACGTTAGCTACTGCTGCTGTGGCTACTGTTACTATTATGACAGCAATATTTTTCCTTGATGTTTTGAGTTCCTAATAAAAATCTTAAATTATGATGGTAGGTTACAACCCAGTGAGACGTTCTAAATAGTCATAAGGTTATTGGCCTTTACATAAAATGGTCCCAGGCTGACTTTCTGGATTGCTCTTACATGCTGGTTTATAGTTTTCCTTTGTGAAGCTTCTAATTCTCATTTCTACTGTTGTTAGTCATTTTTCCCGATCTCTTTTGTCCCTTTCCATGCTTCCACTTTTGTAGGGGGCTATAAAAACCGATTAAATCAAGCTTGTTAAGTAAAAGCTAATATTTTCCTTTCCTTATTTTTAAAAAAGATTTATTTATTTATTTATTTATTTATTTATTTATTTATTTGAGAGAGAGGGTGCGAGCAAGCAAGTGGAGGGGCAGAGGGAGATGGAGGGGGAGAGAAACCCCAGCAGACTCCTCGCTAAGCTCAGAGCTCAATGTGGGGCTTGATCTCATGACCTTGAGATCATGACCTGAGCTGAAGCCAAGAGCTGGACGCTTGGCTGTGCCACCCAGGCGCTCCAGCTAATATGTTCTAAACTAAGTTGAAAAAGCTCTCTTAGGAATGGAGAGAGGAGGAACTTGACTCCTGGATACCTCTTTTGGCTCTTCAGAGGTATTTTTCTTCTGATTTCCTGATTCTTGGTTAAGCACAAAAGATTATCTAAAAATTATGTTTCCAAGGAGGCAGAGATATAACAAATAAATGTTAAAATTAAAAATCCTCTAATTTAGTTCAAATAAATACTCATTAAACTCCTATGATGGCTAGATGCTGGGGGAACAAAAATGAATGATATGGCCTTATACCTCAAGAAGCTTGCAATCTAGAGGGGAAGATTAAACATAAACAAAGAATGCCAAGATAATATAATAAGAAATACCAAAGATTTTCACACTGGATACTATGGGAACCTAAAGAAAGGGCCCTTAACCAAACCTGGAGATGCGGGAAAGCTTCCTGCAAAGGTTCATGTCTGAGGTGAGCCCTGAGAGCAGGTGAAGAAAGGCTGACTGAGTTGTCCCATGCATAAGAACGGAGAGGTAATGAGGCAGGAAGCAAAACGGTGCTCTCAGAGCACTAGGGGTGCGTGTGTGTGTGTGCATATGGGTAGCTAATCACTTGATATTGCTATGATAGAAGAAAAGTGAGACAGGAAAAGGCTAGGAGTCAGACTGAGTAGAAGCCTGAGTCAAAAGATGGCCTCAAATGCCGGGCCAGAGGCCTGGACATTACTTGTGAAGAGATGGGAAGCCATTCAGAAAACTTTAAGGAGAAAAATGGCAATTTTTAGGTTTTCCTTTTAGATGTAAAAATCAGCACTGTGAAGCAAAGCAAAGCTAGAAAAGATTGAAAAAAGAGAGAGACCAATTAGGTGTCTGTTGCAATTAATAAGCTGGAGATGGTAAAGCCCGGCTGAGGACAAGGCAGCAGTTACGGTGAGGAAGAGAGGAAGGAGAGGTCCCAGATGCATTTTAAAGATAAAATTGGATGGCCCTGGTGACCTGATGAGGGGGACGTGCGACTTTGAGGAGTCAAGGATAACTGCCCAGCTTTAGGCCTTGAATGACTGGTTTCGATAAGAGTACAATGAACTGGGAGAGAAACAGGACAGTCTTTGTTTTGTTCTTAATTTCATCTTGGTTTTGTTTTCTTTCTCGGATAGTGGGTATAGGAAGATGAATGAGTTCATTATTACAGAGGTCAGAAGTGAAGATGTAAATTTTAGAGTAATCAACAAATAGAACCAAGAAAGCAGGTGAGGAAGCCCAAGGAAAATGTGTGAAAAGAAGAGAGCAGAACAAGTGTGGGTGGGACATGAGAGAACACTGATGCTTCAAGAGGGGCAGAGGATGGCCCCTGGAAGGACCCGGGAGGTCACACCGACAGGTGCACGCAGAGAACAGTCCATGAGAGCCAAGTATGACTTTCACATGGAGAGGCTGATAAAGAAGAAAAATACACCCAGCAGCCACTGCATTTTTTGAGCACTTGCTACATATCAGTCACTGTGCTGCTGAACTGATTGTGTCTCATTTAATCCCTGTGCCAGAGGATGCATGTGCAGCTCAGCAAAGTCATGTAACTCACCCAAGGTCATGGGGTCAGCTGGCGGGAACTGGCATCTGAACCCAGCTCTGCTGTATTACAAAGCCCGTGTTCTTAATTCTGCTGGGGTGAGAGGACTTCTTCAGGAAACAACTTAATAATATCACAATGAGGAATGCCCTATATTGCTTTTCCAGAAAGCAGATCTTAAAAACTGTCCAAGCATTTCAAACGCACACTTATTATCTAATGTGGTCATTATACATTTGATCACTTTCTGTAGTCAAAATAGATTATCTTGGTGATATATTTCTTCAAAATATTTCCTTTCATAAAGACCACACTTGCCAAGTTATGAGAATAACAAAGTGTAACAGCTGGCGATGCACTACGCTGATTGGAGCACTGCTGCTGTGAAGTCACAGGAAGACAGCGGATGGACCCTGTCGGTGTCCTTCAGAGGAGAACGGAGCACCCTGGACCCGAGTCTGCTCAGCGTTATCAGACATCACTCCTGGTTTCCAGGAGAGCCAGAGAGGGTACCACAAACAAGGAAGAGTTCACTTAAAATAGGTATTCTAGAGAAGGTTTACTTTAGATAATAATTTATTATCCGTGTCAACAGAGACAAGGTCACATTTGTTATAAAGGTTGTAATGTTCCTATTTCCCACTAGAGGAAGCAATCGTATTACTCTTACCATTTGGTGGATAAAAGACTGCATATTCTTCTAGTCCTAGTTTTCCTGTAAGAAAAACCACAGAGGGTTTCAATATGATTAAAACAAATCTTTAAAAATTAACTAATTTTGTGGGTGTACTCATAATGGGATTTAAAAAAACTACTACAGTACAATCTCCTTTCACTTCCTTTCAGGATATGGATTTAATTTGAAAATCTACCAGCTAATCTTTTGATATTAGCAAATCCTTTCCTCAAAGTTAATAATACAAACTTAAACTATGACCAGTTGATACAAAATAATTAAAAGAACAAATGCTTTCAACTTCCTTAAGCACTTAAGGAGAGGCATCTATTTAGAAGCATAGACTTGTTTTGCTAACTAATAATAATTCTAATCTATTCATTTGAGTAAGGTCTAAGCTTTGTAATGCCTCATTAGTTTACATTCCTTTGGAATGTGCTAAAAAGTTAAAAATTAAATGTCTTAAACCATATAGTGGTAGTATTTTCTGAATCCTGAAACAGTTCATGTAGTCCAAAAACTTCACCATAATCAAATGTTTAAAGTAGTTTTAAAAAATAGCTTCCCCTCAACTCATAAAGTTCTGAATTTTTTTTCCCCTATCTTCCATTGAGTATCTTTAGGTAGCTTTTATCTTGACAATTTTTTTTTCTAATACCTTTGAGTCTATTGAAAAGTCTCATGCATTCTTGCACTTGGAAATATTTTTTGTAGTTTTTGTTGAGAGTGGTGCCAGAGAAGAGACAAAGAATAAGGAGCATAAGCAATTTAGGTTAGGGTGGAGACCACAAGGACCGAGCTTGTAAGGAAAGAATGGAATAATGAGAAGTAGATGAGAGTGGGGGGAGAGATGGATGATACAGAGTAGCAGCTGGGTACTAAATACGGGGCTAGGTGAAAAACCCCTGTAAATTCCCAAGTGCTAAGAGACTGGGAACATCTGTTGCTCTATTGGTGTGACTATGGTGGACTTCTGGATGGCGACTAGTCACTGGAAAGACCAAGTTATGACTAGAATCTTGGCATTTTCAGTCCTATCTGCCATTTTCTAGAGAGGGGGACAGGTGCTGGAAATGAGGTTAATAACTGACCCTGCCTACACGAAGCCTCTGTAAAATCCCAGTAATGAGGCGTTCAGAGAGCTTCTAGGTAGGCCAACAAATCAACATGGGGAGGATAACACACCACAGCTCCATGGGGCAGAAGCTCAGGACTATCCCAGACCTCGCCCTATGTATGTCTTCATCTGGCTGTTCATTTGTGTCCTTTATTATGCCCTTTCATAAGCTAATAAATGTCCATGTTTCCCTGAGTTCTGTGAGATATTCTAGCAAATTAATTGAATCCGTAGAACAAGTTTTGGAACCCCTCATCTATAGCTGGCTGATCAGAAGCACAGGTGATAAACTGGATTTCTGATTGTCGTCAGAAGAGTGTATATGTGTGTGTGGGGGGTGGCAATCTTGTGGGATGGAGCCCTTTGTCTATGGGATCTGATGCTGTCTCTGGGTAGACAGGGTCAGAATTGAGCTAAATCGTAGGAAACCCATCTGGTGTCCGTGACTTGCTTCTTGTTTTAGGGAAAATTCATACATATTTGGTGCCAGAAGTAGAGTGTTTTATGATTATACACGGTACACACAGTAGAGAAACACAGTAGGAAAGAACTAGGTTTTTCCCTACACAGGAAGGAAAAATCAGTTTTTCTGATGGAGTAAGATATAGCTTAGTTCTTCAGGGACCTATGATTTTGGGGTGGAGGAGTGAGAACCCTTCCACATGTAGGGAGTATGTGTAGGCTAATAAATATGGGGTAGTTGGAAAAATCAGGGAATCAAAGTTAGCTAGGTTAAGACAAGATTGGCTGACAGGACCTTAAAATCTTGACTGAGTGCAGAGATGAGCTCTGCAAATAATTCTACAATCAGCTTTTTAGCAAATGATGTTTAATAAGCTAACCGAAGGTTTCTGTAAGTTCAGTTTAGAAGCAATGGGGTTGAGAGAGCCCCAAAGTTGGGGTAAGCCTGACCCTAGTGCCAGGTAATGTAGGGCAGGGGTTGTAGAAATCAGGCACACAGACTTGGGAGGTACAGGGGAAAGTTTCTTTCTTTATGGGAACAGCAGAACGGGGTTATATGCTTTCAGTGCTGGGCATTCACCACTTAATAAAAAGGAGAAATTGGGAAAGGCTTCCAGCTGAAATTAGATCTGTTGTCAGGTGATAGCAGGATATTGAAATAGCAGTATCTTGTGGGCAGCTAGTGATAAAGAAGAGAAGAAAGCACTGAAATAGAAATTAGAGAGCTAAGAGCATATAAATTACATCAAATTTTAAGTGTGGTAGACCATTTTGAGGGAAGGAATAGAGACAGTAGAAAAAGCAAATTCGTGTGATAAGCCCGTAGGTAGGAGGGAAAATAAAAGTCAACAGATATGATAAAAACAGCAATGGAGGAGAGAGTAAACAGGAAAGATAAAGGAGGTAACTCTCAGTGCTGCTCCTGGGAACCCCTTGCCTGTGATTGTGAGGAGCTGCTTGGCCGGGATTTGAGTAGGAGGGAAAGTATGGCTACAGTAATCTGAGAGAAATCTTATTAAGTAGTTTACAATAAAAAATTTAACAACACCAATAAATGCTATAAAATATAACAGTCTTGGTATGATTTTGTAGGTCTCAAGGAATACTTCCTTACTGTAACTAAAATTTTACCTCTTATGTAGGACTTCGGTGGTGAAGCACTGTTGTATGCAAAATGACCCAACACGGATGTATCCCGGGAAAAACAAAGTAACACCTGGGTGCAACAGTGGAAGAAACAAACAATTAAGCATTGTTTTAGAACAGGTAATTCACTGCTATTTCCCACTTGGAAGGCACGGAGGGACAATCTTTCCTAGTCAGTATGGTGTCTGGAAATGGGAGGAGTGCCCTCTATCGGTACACTGACGCTAGGTGTTAGGCCGAGTACGATGGCCCAAGTTCACCCACAGATTTCTCACGTACACCTCGAACAGCAGCAGATGAAGTAAGTTACTACCAGCTGATTTTGATGCTTTTATTGTGTTTTCTATCTGGAAAAGAGAAACAGCTGGGAGAAATTTAACCCGATGACAAATGTAGAGGGGGGGGCCCCTAGCTAACTAACTACCAGCAGCACTGAGTAGTTTGGGAAGTGCAGGAAACTGGATCTAGAGTCTTTGCTGGAATGCAGCAGCAGGCAGTTGGGTATGTCAGGGTGGGAGGAAAGGCAAGTCATGGTATCTAGAAGCGATGGCAGCTGCAGAACAAGTGGCAGCCCAATACAGGTTAGCAGCTGGTTGCCCTGCCCAGCAGGTGGAGTGTGGTGTCTGCCTGCAGATGAAAATAGGAAGGGCAGAAAGTCCGGATCAAGGATGTCCTTAGGAGGAACCGAGTTGTTGACACCAGTTTGGAACTTGGAGGAGGAGGTTGATCCCAAGGTGATTAGTGACAGGAAATCCAGGTCCTGGTATTGAAAGACCTGGGATTCAAAAAGATGTTACTGAGAAAAGAACTGGGAATGACAGGAAAAGCCAGAAGGCCAGTTAACAGACTAGGGGCACGAGGTCAGGGTTGGACGAGCAGCAGGATCCAACGGAAAAACTGTGGGTGCCAAACAGAAGAAGGGAGCCCCGCTTTAGAAAAAGAATAAATAAGGAGACTGAGCATCAGTGAGGCCCAATGGTGAAATGTGTACCAACCACTGCCACGGATTTATTTTTATGTTTTAAAAGACTATACAAGCAATTCATGGGTAAGGCAAAAATTAGAAGAACAGATCACTGAAAAAGACAAAATGCCCATAAGCCCACCTGTGTTTGTATTCTGATATGTATCTTTTCAGACTGCATTTATGCACACATTTTGCAAACAACAGAATTATGCATGCTGTTTCATAATCTACTTTCTTTCAATAACATAAAATAAACATTCCCTGCCCACATTTTCTAATGTTACAGAATACGTGCCACTATATGGATAAACAATAGTTTATTTAACCTATCTTTTACCATTGAACATTTAATTATTTCCCTTTTTTCCCCAACTATAAACAAAGCAATAAACTTCCCTATAGCTAAATATTTGTATATAATTTTATTTAAATTCCTAAAATTGGACTAGCTGTCTGGTCAAAGCAATGGGCATTTTAAGTCTAAAACTTTTGATGTATATTGTCAAACTGTCCTCTAGGTAGAGTTTGTTTTTGTTTGTAATAAACACAGTGGTAAGATAGTGTACCTTTTCCCTTATTCTCATTGAAACTGGTTATTAGCATCTTAGAAGTAAAAATAGCATTTTGCTTTAATTACTAATGAACACTTTTCCATTGCATTTCTTTTATTTTCCAGCTCATCATCATAGTCCATTTTAAAATTGATGTTTATGAAATTATTGATTAAAAAATAAAATTACTGATTTAAATATTCTGTATATAAAGAATTCTAACCTTTGGTCGAATAATATGTTAGGAATGACTTTCCTCAAACAGTTTGTTGTTTTTGACATAGAGATGTTCTTAATTTTATATGCTGAAATCTACCAACACTTTCATGCTTAGAAAGCTCCTCCCCACATTTAAAATAGTCTCATATATACACACCTGGATTACAAAAGTTTTTAGTATTTTCATCAAATATTTCTAGTTCTTCCCCTTTGCAGATATATGTCAGCCTGACTTTTCTGACCACTTTGGGGTTCGATGTGGCCCTGTGATTTGCAATTTAAGTCAATGAAATACATGACACTTGAATATTTCTATATATAAGTTTCAAGAACTAGAGCAATAACCATGTTTCCCTCTTTGTCTCTGCACAGCAACCCTTGGTTCCAGATAGTGGATACTAAGTTCTGGAGTAAAAATGACACAGAGCTAGGTCCAATTCTATCAAATGGACATGACCATGAGCAAAAAATAAACCTGTGTTGTTTTAAGCCACTGAGATCTCAGATTTGTAGGTAATTCCAGTATAATCTAGTGCCTCCAAAATTTCCAAAACAGGAAATTCTGTCTAGCATTTTTTTAGTGTCTTGAGAACAACAAAAATTTATTCTCTCACAGCCCTAAAGACCAGAAGTCCAAAATCAAGGTATTGGCAGGGCCATATTCACTCCAAAGTTTCTGGTAGAAAATCCTCCCTTGCCTTTTCTGTCCAGTTTCTGGTGTCTCCAGGTGTTCTTGGCTTGAAACTGTGCAACTCTAATCTCTGCTTCTGAATTCACATTTTCTCCTCGTCCTCTCTCGAGGCTTTTCTTCTTCTTCTTCTCTCTCTCTCTCTTTTTTTTTTATATATAGTTGACATAAAATGTTATATTAGTTTCAGGTGTATAACATAGTGATTTCACAATTCTATACATTATACAATGTTCAGCTTGGTAAGTGTAGTTGCCTCCTATCACCATACAAAGTTATTATAATATTATTGACTATATTCCTTATGCTGTACTTTTAATTCCTAGGACTGATTAATTTTATAACTGAAAGCTTGTGCCTCTTATTCACCTATTTGCCCATTCTCCCACCTCTCTACTGTCTGGCAGCCATCAGTTTGTTCTCTGCATTTATACATCTGTTTCTGTTTTTTGTTGGTTTATTTGTTTTGTTTTCTTAGATTCCACATATAAATGAAATCATATGGTATTTGTTTTCCTCTGTCTGACTTATTTCACTTAGTATAATACCATCTAGGTTCACTCATGTTGCTGCAGATGGTTAAGAACAATGAATGGATAAAGAAGGTATGGTATAAAAATACAATGGAATATTAGTCATAAAAAAGAATGAAATCTTGCCATTTGTCTAGCATTTCTGATAAATTCGTTTTGTGGTAAAATCAATAAACCATCTGGAATTTATTTTGAAACTGCACTGCTAGGGGTGCCTGGGTTGCTCAGTCTGTTAAGTGTCTGCCTTCAGCTCAGGTCATGATCCTGGGGTCCTGGGATCAAGCCTTGTGTCAGGCTCCTTGCTCAGCATGGAGTCTGCTTCTCCCATTCACTCGACCCCTCTCAACTCCCCCCCCCACTCTCTCTCTGTCTCAAATAAAGAAAAAAGAAAACAAACTACAGAGTTCAAATTCTAGCTCCACCAGTGTCTTAGCTGGGTGACACTGGGCAAGTTATTAGAATTCTTGGTGTTTTAGTTTCATCATATGTAATATGCATACCACAATAATACCTACATCAGAGGCTATTGTGGGGATTAATTAATACACATAAAGTCTATCAAAGTGCCTGGGTAGAACAGTTGGTTGAGCATCCGACTCTTGATTTTGGCTCTAGTCATGATCTCAGGGTCAAAAGATCAAGCCTGTATTGTAGGAGTCTGCTTGAGAATCTCTCTCTCTCTCTCCCTCCTTGCTTTTGTTTCCTGTCTCTCTAAAATAAATAAATAAATCTTAAAATGTGTGTAGGACAGTGCCTAGCACATGGTGAATCTTATTAAACTGTTGGCTGCAATTACTACTATTACTACCACTATTACTTTAATTTTATTCTGTCAAATAAAAAGTGCTATGGAAACACAATAAGGGGGAAATGGAAAAATATGGATGCCATTTAAGAGAGTTGTCAGGGCAGGCATCATTCAGAAGATAACATCTAATTAAAGACTTGAAAGGACTTGAGAAGTCTCTACAGCATTACCGAGGCTTCCATTTATATTGTATTGCATCTAGACTTCTTCCTCTGCTCAATCCTGCTTCATTCACTGTCCATCTACAGGCATTGATCCCAAGAGCACTCCCTAATAAATTTTTGGCATGCTAACCTTAATCTGAGTCTGCTTCCCTGGAAACTCGTCTTGCAACATAGTGGAAGTGGGGAAAAGTGATCAAATTCTAAATATAATGTCAGAAACATAGGAATCAAGGACAATTCCAAATGGAAGGATGCCTAATTTGAATTAAGGGGAAAGATGGGGTTATCACTAACTGAGATAGGGAAAGTTAAGTGGAACAATTTTGAGAGTGAGATCAGGGCTTCAGTTTTCAACATACTAAATTTGAGATATCTGCAAAATACCTGAATGAGGTATTGAAAAGGCCGTTTGGAGATACCAGACTGGAGTATGGGAGAGAAGTCTGGGCTGAAGATATAAATTTAGAAGTTATCAACATATAGATGATAATGAAAGTCACAAGACAGTTGAGCTTGGTGAAATCAGCAAGTGAATGGGTATAACTAGAGAAAAGATCGGGAACCGAGACCTGGGACACATTAATGAAGGAGAAGGGAAGGAACCAGTCTTGGAGATTGACCTCATTAGCATGGGTCCCTTTGAGTGCTGGGAATTGCTAGGAAGTATAGTGTGCTCTAAGTAAGGAGGGCAAGTCAGGCTGTGATCAGAAAACACTTCGATGTATGCATTTCCAGTAAACTGCCTAATAAGATCTCAGAAAAAAGGGACCTGAACCTCTTATTTTCCTCTTGTTCTAAATAATTATGCATGTGTGTACCTAATTATGATTTATTTGTAATATTATATTCCCTATCTTTAAAGGGTTTCCCAAATTGTATGAACTTAAGTTCCCAAAATGCTAGGTCTGCCTCTGGTAACCAGTAAAATAAGACAAGAACCAAAAAGATGTAGTGTCTTAAAAGCCAAGTGAAGAAAGGACACAACTGGGTCAAATGCTATTAAGAGATCAATTAAAAGGGGGACTGACCATTGGTCATTGGATTTAGTTATTGGGGACCTTTGAAACAACTGTTTCAGCTCAAAAGGTAGAACACCATATACAATGTTCAGTATCTGATTTTTTTTTAACGGACCATGAA